TTTAAGAATTACAGGTACTGTTTGTTGAGCTTTTATTTTGTATTAGTGTCACAACTCTCAATACTAGAATGAGTAATAAAATTAACCAATATGCCCATTTGCCAGTTTGAACGTTTTGACATTTTTATTCTATCTTTCATTCTACCACATTTTTGTTGTTGTTATTGAGATTTTTGGGATCTTTCTAAATTTGTACTTGGATAAATTTTTCATTTTACCAGAAATTTACCTTTATTTAGTATACTTAACAAATAAAGACATAGATAAAGAAAAATATAATCATACACAACATGAACAATAGCATTTTTTTTGTCTTTTTAATTAGCAGCTCATGTTGACTTTACACAGTCTCCTTCAAAAATATCTTTCTTTAGCTGAAGTAGGTTCAAAGAAGATACACTTAATTTGATATATGTGTCATGAAATTTTTATGATGTATAATTTTTTCCTCCTTCTAGTTTAACTCTTGACATTTACTCGTTTAAAAAAAAAAACTGGGTGATTTTCACATGTTTGGTGAAATCTTTCATGTTTTGAAATTTGATAATTGTATCCTCAAGTTGCTGTCTACCAAAATGTCCTATAAATTGAGAGTTAACTCTAAAGGTTCAAATATGACTCTAAAGGTTCAACTTTTGCATTGATTTTGACAAAATGCATTTTCCTGCATAGCATTGTATATTTATTATTGCATTATAACTGAACGTCCATATGTTTACCTATTTTTTTGATACTAAAGTTAATCAGTGATTTCAGATGTTGTCAGCATGATTTATTTCCTGCAATATCTGTGTTCAAGTCAACACTTCCCCATTCACTTATTTTAAAGTTCCACTTAAAACATTCAACCAATGGCTATAACAGTCATGAAAGCACATGGTCTTATTATTTCCATATGATGAGGTTGTAACTTTCCAATTTTGTTAGGTTTTCTGCATGTAATAGCTGTGATATTTTATTGATGGCCTGGAAAAAGAAATTTCTCAAACCAACTACTTGGATATATTGAATAGAGTCTATTAAAAAATAGAACATTAATACAGATTCTTCCTCTTAATCTATCTGTTTTAAAAGTAAGAGTTGAAAACACATGGAATGTAGCCTTTGTATCACCTCTTTAAAAGACCCATAGAGCAGGGAGGAAGAGCAGGAAGAAAAGATTAACATTAAACGGAGACATGAGGTGGGAGGGAAAGGGAGAGAAAAAGGAAATTGCATGGAAATGAAGGGAGACCCTCATTG